GCATCCCGTTTAATGGTAGTCTTTGCCCATGAGCTATTGGGTTTAGGGTACATTGAGGTTTATACTAATTTGATGAATTTTAATTTTAAATTATTATGCTTTAGATAAATATTGTTTTTCTGTTTAATTTGACTGCCATCATTAATCAAAAGCCTTTTTAAAAATTTAATTTTTAATATATTTAAGTTAAAAATTTTCACATATACTAATAAAAATTCAATCTATTTTTCATAATAATTAAAAAAAATAGGTCAAGAATTATTTTTATTTTAATTTTTCTTAAACATTAACTATTAAAAAAATTAGAAAAAATATAAAATAATTTGCATCGATACCAAATTTTATTGGAAAGCCTAAAAAAGAATCATATAATTTAGTTCTCAAAATATTTACATAGTTTAATTTAAAATACCTATTCAAGTTTAAAATAGGTTATTTTTGAAAGTTACAAATGTAAAAAATTTGAGAGCCATATTAAAATTACTTGTGTAAATTCATATGATTTTTATAGGGCTTTTTATAAAAAAAATTGAAATAATTCCAGCTTATTTTGTATTTATTAACTTTTTAATTTATAAAAAAATACTTCCAATTTCAAAAAAATTTAAAATTATTTATGAAAATGAATTGAATTTTAATTATTTTATATGAAAATATAAAAATTTAAATTTTTTATGGAAAAATTTAAAGAAAATGAAAGCTATAATCAATCTCAGTACCATATATGGCAAGCAATAATAATATTTCCACATCACATACCTTAAAAAAATAAATCTCATGCGTATTAAAAGAGCAATGATCCAAGAACAAGATACCAAAATATTTAAAAGACTTTGATTGAGAACATCTTCTCAACCTATATTATCGAACAGCGATGGCAATGGCATGCACTAATAAGAGTGGAACTACGGAATGGATAAACTACATTGAGGATATTTTTACTATATAGATCTATTGATTGAAGTGACTCGATGTGGCGTGTCAGCCCTAATCAATGAAGAACTAACCGTGATGTCTATTCGCCCTTGCAATTTTTCTTCTTCTTTTTTTCAAATGTAAATAAAGGCCTTTGTGTGTATTCAGAAAAGACTCCTCCCACGCAACCCCACCCAACGGCCAGGGGAAGTACCAGAGAGAAGTCAGGCTATTCCGTCATCCATGACCATGATAGCATCAGATGCCCACGTGGGAAACTCAAGGCCCCACATTTTGACTGACAAGTCTTTGTACTTAGGGGGCCCCAGTACAAGATTAAACTTTGAACTTTTGAAGGAAAAGATATGAAAATCAACGTGGCCGAAAGATTAGTCTTTCGTATTGGAGTCCAGTTGTACATTCTTCTTCTCCACGGTTTAATTGCATATTCTACCCCCTAAGAATGTCGTATTAAGCTTTTCACATAAAACTATTTTTAAAAAAATTAATTAATTTTTTTTCTGCATATGTTACGAACCTTTAAATTAGTTTTATTTTTTAATACTTTTTTAAAATAGTTTTGTGTAGACTATGTTTTTTAATTAAAAATTAAAGTATGATTATCAATTTTAAACGGTTCGATTTGAAAAAATATATAATTTATTTATTAAAATAATAGCTTGTAGACAAAGTAGGCCAAATTGACAGTTCAGGTCTTATTTTACTTCAATTTAATAATTTAAGAGTCAAATTTATCATTAAATCTCTGTTAGATAGTCACACTGCTATATATGTATATGCCAACCACCATACACAATAAGATTATATTCATATAATATATGTAAAAATAAATGGCGGAGTATTATATTATATTGGTTGCTGCTTGTTTTTTTATTACTAGAGATAGTTGGGGAAATAAAATACATTAAATCATCAATATATTATTGGATAAATTTTGGATTGAAATTGATAGTTTAAACACAAATTCTTTTAAATTAAATCAATAAATACCGCTCAATTGCGATAACTTAAATACTTGGGAGCGAACTTGATTCATATGTATACTTGATTCAATTTTCAATTTTTCTAAATAAGGGAAAAAAATTGTAATATGACGGTATTCTTGTAAAAAAAAAAAGAATTTTGGAGTTCAAATCTCGTATTTATAATTAATCTCAAATGAACAAAAATATTCTCTTTTTCATCCTTTATAATCAATCTAAAATGAACAAAAATATTTCCTTTTTCATCCTTGTGAGTAATTAGCATATCTCTTTGAATGGTGGAATTGGCTATACAATTATAAAAAATTTATCAACTTAGTCTCCACATTTGAAAAATTCTTATTGATCCTCATGAGAAAAATTTAAGTTAAATGGTCCAAATCTCTTATGAGTTTTAAATAATTTAAAAACCAGCTCTTCAATTTTTAATTTCAAATTAGACAACTCTATAATTATTTTTTATTTAAAATTAGATATTTTTATTAGACTTTTATCAATTCTAACGTAAAAATACACGTGTGCAGTATATTATTGATTTTTTAATTTTTTTCAACATTTTAAAAGATGCCAAAACTTAAGGATGTTTTGTTTTTCTCTCAAAAATTGTTTATTTCTTTGTAAATATTCTTTAATCACTTATTTCTTAGTATTTAGGAGGAGAGAAATAAGTTTTTGAAGAAAAAAAACTAATCAATTATTAGTTTTCACATATTTTTAGTTGTTGAAAAATTACACTTATATATTAAAATTAACGAAAATCTAACAGAATGACTTAAGTTTAAATAAAAAATAGTTGAAAGAAAATTTAAGTTTAAATTAAAAGTTAAAGGGCTGATTTATAAATGACTTAAAATTTAATAGAGGTTTGTATTATTTTTTTTTCAGAAAAGTATTTATATTAATTAATAACCAAGTACAGCATAATGCATTTTCTTTAATAGTTCTTGTATTTTTGGGTTAGTATTTACATATCAAGATTACATGCTTTCTATTTAGATATAATAGACACTAATACTCTTTGTTCCTAAGCCTTAAACGACTTTTCAGTTCACCGAGTGTCAAACAAAAACACTTTATCCTCACAATACATCCACAACAAATTTAACTATTTGGATTTCAATCTAAAGATAATAGTATGAGAAAAAATTGACCAGCCACAGGATTCAACATACATGCGTCTGGGAAAATCCTAAACCATCTGACAAATTCATGTAATGTGGAAAGTCCAGATTAGTCATAGATGGAATTCTCCAAGGAAGAGAAATTAGGGGCTGTTTTCAATGGTTGCGGCACTCAGTGCTTCAGTCCAGGAAGCTCAACCTTAGGCCCAAGTATTTAACAACCTTTCTTTTCGTGGGTTTTTTTTTTCTAAAGATAAAAACGTGGCAGGACCTTAACACCTCGGTCGCCTGGGACCATTTTCGATGGCTTCTCTTATAGGCACGCGCCTACAAAGATTCCCCGCCGCCATACATCTCTCTCTCTCTCTCTCTCTCTCTCTCTCTCTCTCTCTCTCTCTCTGTCTACACTATTTCATCACGTTTAGGGGCTTAACTTTTATTCCCCTTGCACGTGCCAGCTCGCGTTTTCATTCATCACAAGTTTGAATTGTAGTTTCTCAAAACAAGGGTAAATTTGTCATGTCAAGAAAACAATATCTTTATAAATTTGCCTTTTCCTGTTAAAAATAAAATGGACTGTTAGCTAAATAGACATTGAACGATCGATCTCACTGGATCACTGGTTCCTATTACTAGGTCTTTCCCAAGCGTACTAATTTAATGGATGATAATTTTTCATAAATTAATTTTGATGGTGATATTCGGCAAAAATATTAACAATGTTTTATTTTTTTGTATATTCTCACTATATATAGATCTAATTAATAGTATTCACCTAATCACTTTATTGTCAGAGTTCAAAACTCAAATTAGTTCGTAAAAAGTAAAAATTGTCTTATATTTTCTAATTTTATGTGAACGAGTTATATATTTTTAACTACATAAAAGACAAACTTTTATCTAGCATGAAACTCGACATGAGAATACCACCTTGCTGTAAAAGCAAGCAGGAAGAAGAAGAAGAAAAAATATATTTGTGGCTAATTCTACTCTTTCTACCTCCCAAAAGAATTACCAAAACGAAAAGAAAACGGACGAGGATCATGGAATCATGTTTTGCTGAGTGTGGGTTCATATATATATATATATATATATATGTATATATAGATAACATGGAATCAAATCGGTATTAGATTATGTCCGGTTAAATGGGTTCTAAGCACTTTGTCCGTACGGTGACAAACAAACAAGAAACGGGGTTATAGAACTGTATTTACAAGGCGTGGCCTTCATTTGATCATTAAAATGATAAGATCTCTTTATTTATATTAATAATAATTAATATGAAAGTACTACTTCCTAATGGCCAACTTAATTAAACCCACAAGCAAATGAATCCAATAACGCCACGTCTCAAAAAATTATTGTAACATCGCTTTTTGTAATCTAGAAACTTAGGAATTTAATCTCGGTTCAGGCCCCATGGCCAAGGTTTCAAAAGTTGCATCACTAATCTAATATAATATATATACGATAACTGTTAAAATAATGACATTTAACTAAAGATGGTGGAACCAATTATGCACCTCTTTATATTATAAAATTGTCTTAAAACATGCTTTTTATAAGGCAATCAATGGTACAAAACTGAAACAAAATTAATAGGTGTTTAGCAAATAATAATTTACTCCAAATAAAATTTCAATTTCGAATTCTGTTTCCTTACCGCATCTTAAAAATTCCAAGAAAATGAAGGGAAAAGAGTTAAAAGTCAATGTTAAAGAATGAGATTAAGAAAACCTCAAATTACAAATTTCCCACCGAAAAAAAAAAAAGAAAAGAAATACAAACCAAATAATCCACAATTAGACCCTCTTTCTATCACAAATTCTACAAGTATCCTTATTTTTCTTTAGATGATTTTCCTCTAGCTGGCTAGCTAGCTTATCTAGCCCCCATGATATTATATATATTTTCTCTACATTTTAACCTTCACTCCCACCCATGCTATTTGCCCTTTTCACATGTTGTTTAGCTGCTGCTGTAAAAACCAAATATCCTCAGGATTCCACAAATTGTCCGATGTGTCCCCACTGTCCATTAACCACTGATTGTTGTTGTTGTTATGCTCCATCGCTTGGAAATCTAATCCTTGGTTAAAATAACCAGTAGGACTAATCATGGACTCTGAGTAGCCAACTTGGCCAGCTTGGAAATAATCCGGATTAGGGTTATGATTAACCGGGATATGGTAATAATCAGTAGTCATGTCCGAAACAGGAGAAACTTGAGTAGCAAACGAGTCCGATGAGGCAGCGGTGCTAGAATTCTCCGGGGTGTAACTTTGTGTAACATGTGAGACACCAAAGTCATTGCCAACATTGACACCATGTGCCATGATCAAGTTCCCACTGCCCCCATCAATATTGTTGATTATGTGGTGATTAGTGGCAGCAGCGGAGACCGTGGCAGCCGGGGAAGCCGACTTTGCAGTGCTGGTTGTGGTGGTGTTGGTAGCAGCTGCTGCTGCTTGAATTCTTTCAATTAACCTTGGCATCCAAAGGTATCTCATGGTGTCCTTGAATTGCTTGCTATTCACGTCACATTTAAGCTGTTTTGCGTGCTTTTGAACTCGGGTTCTCCAATAGTTCTTGATTTCGTTGTCGGTTCTCCCTGGCAAGTGTTGTGCAATTTTAGACCACCTGCGATTGTTCAAAATTAAATAGCATGTTGTTAGGGTTAAGAATTAAAACTCAATAAAAACAAGAACATTTTTATAATAAAATAATTATAACATTTGCTAATTACTGATGACATTAGAGCGTGTAATTAATAAACCAGCATATACATACCGATTGCCCCATCGAGAATGAAGTTCAAGGATCATGAGTTGCTCTTCGAGAGTAATGTTTCCACGTCGAACATCAGGCCTTAGATAGTTGAGCCATCTTAATCTGCAACTCTTTCCAGTTCGTTTGAGACCTGTTTCATTGAATTTGAGTTTTGGTAAAGTTATTAAGAGAACAAATAATCGAAAGAGATAAAAAAGAGAGCATTTTCGCTCTACACTACTACTTTTTATAGTTGATGTGCTTTTCCACAAGCTTTTTGATTGAATTGTCTTGATATAAAGCTGTACGGCTAAAGAATAATCATCTATGGCAATATTATCTCATTCTTGTAAGAATAATTCACATCATCAAAATCCCACAAGAACTTACAAAGTTCTCATGATCAACAAGAAATATTTATTGAAAAGCAAAGTTTAGGACTTTGCACTCTTATTTAAAGTATATGTACAGAGGAGACCCATTGAAGATTATGAAGACAGAAACAATACAAAAACAAATTAAGACATGTTGGTCAAGTTGTTAGTTGGCAAGCTCTTTGCCATATATTGGGGTTATGGATATTTTTGATTGGAAAAACGTGCAGAGAGAGAGAGAGAGAGAGAGAGAGAAATTATAGTTTACCTGCACGAAAAGCCAGAAAATTCCAGCGTCCCTCACCATGAGTAGCAATGTAATTGATAAGCTTGAAGTCTTCTTCAACAGTCCATGGACCTCTTCTTAAGTCACCCATCATCTCTTCATCACTTTGTGTGGTGGAGGAGGAGCTGTTTCTGTTGCTGTTGCTGTTGCTGTTGCCTTTAACATCCATCATATTTCCCTTAATTGGAGAAACTGATTGATCGAGAGAAAAAAAGGGTTTACTTTAGAGAGGATTTTTAGAGAGACAGAGAGAGAGAGAGATGGATTAATCAGGAAGACAGAGAAGGTGGGGTTTTTATAGATGCATAGACAGGTTTGAAATAAGAGAAAAAAGTTAGCATGTGTGAGTGAGAGAGAAGAGAGCAAGCCGCAATAGGAACTTCTGGGGGGTTTAATTAATTAATGCTATATTTAATTAACACTTAAGCTTGCTAGTTTAATTATGGCAGTAAGTGCCCATGAGGCTTTGAAGTTTGACCCTTTGACTTTGTTGCCCTCTTTCTTTTTGTATCCCTGCTTTTTTTTTTTTTTTTTGTCCTCAAGTCCTATTCATCCAAACTATTCCATATTGAATGAATATTTTAAATGGCAAATATACACCCATATTTCTTTATATCATATTTACATTTTTTTCATATTTTTTTAAATTTGTAATTATATTTTATTTATTTCTAAAAATATGTAATCCATTTTTTTATCAATTTTTTCTGTCAAATAATTTTTTCAAACTAAATACTTCTGATTAAAGTACAAAACATAATAATTTAAAGACTTTAAAATTAGAATAGGTAAATCATGTGATTTTAAATTTTTTTATTTTTATATTTTAATAAAGGATATTTTAATTATAAAATACTTTGATAATCAAAATTTTTAATTAAAAAAATTAAATATTTTTAAATTTTTAAATAACAAATGGAATGTAATATTTAAAAATTTAAGAACAAATGAGATAACTTTTAAATATTATATAAAGATAAATAAATATATTTATTTTATTTTATAAATAATATATCACTAGATGGTTGGTGTCTTGTGAAATCCACAAATATCTAACGGTTGATGGTGGTTAAAAAATCTATTCGGATTGGGTATTTCGAATTAAATAAAAATATTGTGGAAATGGCGTTTCCATTCCTCGTCAAAGCAAGAAGGAAGCTGTCCATTTTTTATTTTTGGTTAGAAAATATGAACACTGCATTTAGCAATGCTATACCTTCTATATATGTGACACAATTGGTCGGTTGTTGTAATTTTCTACAAATTCTACATTTCAGTTATACCTTCATATAAACAAAAATTCTATCTGGATTTTCGTCAATGAAAGGTATCAAAACTGGCTTGTTCATCTATTTCACAAAGTTGACTATTGTTATCTTCGCAACAAACAAAAGGGTAGGTGCTCTCTTACAGTTAAACTTTCACTTGTTGTTCACAGTAAACATATATATGGGTGATGGTACAAATTAGGACTTTTGAGAATGAATTCCAGAATACATATATTTTATATTTTATAATTTTACTGAACTGGTGTTAATTCATAAAAAAAGATTTCATTGTTAATCGGGAACTGAGGCTTAGTTATTAATGCTCTATATTGCCTCCATTGATTTCATTGCTCTAGGGGAACTCGATTATAAAGTAAGAAAATAAGAAAAAGAAAAAGAAATGGAACTCTACAGCGCAGATATATCATATTTTCCCTGCCTTAAAATGGTCTACATCACCATTGTAGAGCATTTAATGTTTATTTTGTTTCTCTTTGGTAATTAGGATGGCCTCGACCTAGATACCTTCTCCCAACATGCTCTCCGAACATAGATTTTTGCGCATGTTTACTAATTTGAGGGGACTTGGAATATTTACATTTGAGATTGAAGTGGTATGGGTAATCAGAGTACGTTTGCTTGTCACAAGCCAGCAATCTTGATAGTAATATATGGCAAAAAATGGACACACCTAATGTTAGAATTCGACACTGAGCCCTCTAAGTCCTTACCGCCATGGTATTAGGACGGTTACGCAATATTTCCATTACTGGAGAGGGTCACAAAAGAGGGGACCAATTCATTGCTTTTGGCCTCTTCCCCCGAAAATTGCACGGTTATTAAATTTTTAAGCAGTAATGTTTCTATTTTCCTAATAAAATACGAGGGAAAAATGATTCATGTCGTTTTCTTTCCTTTTCCTCCAAATTGGTCTGCTTCTTGTCAGTGTACTATTTCTTATCTCTTAGAAATTGGTTTACAGAGAAAATGAGTTTGCCTTTTCCATTGTTAGTATATACTGGACTTTTTTGTAAAAAACATCATATTATTATATATGTTGTGGATAAGCTATCCAAATTCAGATTAGAGAAACTCTTTATATATATTTCCTAAAAGACCTATATATGATTAATCATTCCTGAAAATTACAAAAGTACTTAAATATATATATACTTTATTAAGAATTTTTCAAGAGGTTACCTTAATTTCCAGACATTATATAGTGTATAGAGCGTAATTTTAATTAGCCGGATTAATTAAACGCTTTGATTGCCTAGAAGGCGGGTTAAAACTTTATTAAATTGTTGCATTCAATTAAATCCCCACAAAAATTTAACTCCCTCGAGAAGTTGTGACGTGCAAATTGATAAGCGGACCAAGCACAAAATAGATAGGATATGTAGATGCTGCAACTTCTTAGTAGAAGTTATTGTTTGCGTACTTTCTTTGTTTCTTTTTCTGTTTTACACCACCGACCTCATTAATTCATTGAAAAATAGTTTTAAGTTTTGAAAATTTAAAAATTCCCCTCTAAAATTTTTAATATTATTTATTTTGGAATTTTTAAGGGCATTCAACTTGATGTTTGTATTTCTTAAAAAATAAAATTGATATTTGTAGATTTCATGTACCATACCGACATCAAGAAATTAGAATTAACAGTTTATAATTTAATAATTAACATTAATCGCTTTTTTGGAGTTTATTTTATTAAAAAAAAATTTAATTTGGAGACCCTATGTTTGCATCAAATTGACAAATTAAATCTTATATAAATAATTTTGCAAATTCGACTCTATAATTGTTACATTTAAACAATTCAATCCATTAATTAACTATTCTAATTAAATTGTTAACATAAATCCATTTGTTATATTAAAACCTGTTGAATTAGAAAATATTTGCCATGCGCAACATAATTTTGACCGAGATGTTTAGCTTTAATTTTTAAAAGAACAAAAATTAAATTAAATTAAATAATTCAAAAGATTTACAAGTTATTCTCTTTCTACTTTTTTCTCAAGGTTTATAAGAAATTCACATGACTGCATTGTGACTTTTTGGCACCTCAAAATTTAGATGAAGTATTTTAGTCAAAATTATATATTATATGATTCTTTGTTAATAATTGAAGCAATTAAATTGAATTGTCTAGATATTATAAATATAATGTTGAATTTATAAAATTATTTACATATGATTCAATTTGTCATACGGAGTATCAAAATAAGATTTTTTTCCCTTATTTAATTATCTTAAATGTTGTGTGTGAAAAAAAAAATTATAGAATTATGTCTAATCATGAGAGGTTATAATTGTTTAAATATGAAAAAGAAGAAAAAGAAAAGGGTGGAAACTAGCAAGGTAAAAATTTATATAGGAGGGAGGGAGTAAGGAAGAGATAAAAGCATGTGGGTAATAATAACAATTATTTAAAAAAAAAATGAAAGTACATTAAATAATAAATAAGTGAATTGTTGGGGAAGCTACATATACATTCTTGATAAAAACCCTTCCATTTGCGGTTGGAATTCATCATAATCTTAAATCGTCTGGGGATCTTTCAAGATTTTGAAAAGCTCTAAATAGTTGGGCGGCCATGGATCGTACGTAGCTCCGTCCCGTAAGAATATCATAAATGAATCTGTACCGTTGATTTTAAGTTAAATACCCTAGTGGGGATGCCTACAAGCTATTCCCTGGCGTACCATATGCTTTCGTATTTTTAGTGAAATCGTGGTGAGAATTAGCAGCAGCTGTGGACGAAACCTTTGTTGATATTAATATTAATGTTGAAAATGAAATTAAATAATTAACCCATATTTTCGATAGCAAATTAGGAAGGGTAGCTAAATCCAAAAGGCCAGCTAGTGTAAATGGTTAAGTTTATATACGATTGTGTTTTGCTAGGAGTTAAAAATTAAAAATTGATCAGTAATGAAGAATTAAATGTTAAGTAGTGAATTAATGAAGTGTTGATGGTGTAAAAAGTAGTTAAAAAATGAAATGTCAAGAGTGTTTAGTATATAAGATATATTATTATTTACCCCAGATCATAAGGAACCAAAATGTGATGATCATCCAAGGGAATATAAGATATGCTGTTATTTGTAAATTTCAAATTAATAATAATAATAATAGTATAAAAAAATTACTGAAATCCAAAAGGTTAAAAACTATTAACTCCTCTCACATGTGATTTTGTATTACTATTTAATCTTTAGGGTATGAAATTTACGTAGATAAACATTATCTTATGTTATTAAATTTTAATTAGAAGAAAAGATATATGTGATGTGGCGGAATTAGAGTTTGTAATCACCGCTTGATTAATAAACTCCGTATCGTGTAAAACCAACCGCTTAATTCAAAAATTTAAATTTCTTAATAAAAGCAACCGAGATATAATTTTATATTACTCTCTTAAAAAAAAAAAAAAAGGGTGTTAGATCCTTGCCTTTTAGTCGGGTGAATCGCATAGCATTATATTATATTAAGTAATCCAAGTTTTATATTTTTTTTATTTTGTAATTTTCCATATTATTGTTTATATTTCTTGTATTATAGAAATTATAATATTTTTTATATTGTGCAAATATTTTTTCTATATTGTACTAAATTTTATATATAAATATAATACAATATCACTATAGAGTTATGTAGTGATAAGGATATATAGAGAGAGGTATTATTTCTCTCAAACTAGGTATTAAAGGACAATGATTTTTTAATATATGGTACATGAAAGATGTGAGACATTTCAAGCATGTGTTTTGATGTGCGTAAAATAGTAGAGGCAATGTTAGATATACCAAGTCTCTTACCATCTCCTATTTGCAATTGATCAGGACCCCATAAGGATGTATATAGAATTGAGTGATACCCATGAGGTCAGGAGTGACAT